CTGACACGTGTGCCACCTTTGCACACGGCTTGACGCTAACATATATATATATACTGATTACCGACTGTCAAATTTGATAGTTATGGTAATAGATACCTAATGTACTGTCGATAATTGGCAACTACTGTCGATAATTGGGTATTTTAATCGGTGGATAGAAGATTGCCGTGATGATGCCGGTAGGAGAAAAAAGGTTTCCTCGGGGACGTTACACAATTTAAATGCGCAGATCAAAAGAATTGGGGGTGTGCATGTGCATAATGTGGAAGTATAGCGCTCGAAAAAGAATAGTTTAAACCCGCATATTCACCAGAAATTTATTTGTAATAAATATTTTGTCATATCTCTGTAACACATTCATATGTAATTTCTTGTGATATACAGTTTTTCATTTTCTTATAAGTAGTTTGTAATAATCATTTCCGCAATACATATTCTTTAAATGTAGATTAATCATTTTGGTATATTCTTTTCTTTTTCAACTTTTCAATAGCTTATAAAATAATTTTAAGAAAAAAAATACGCCGACTTCGAAATGCACTAAAAAGTATAAAATAATTTCTATTTCCTAATGAAATAATTTCTTTTTCATTCAATCATACAATTACGTCACAAATATAAATGAAACCTATTTACTCGTTAGGTAGTATATTAAATACACTTCAACCTTTTCGGAGGCGGCGCAAAATTAAAAGATTTTCTTAAACATGTCAACGTTTGGACAGCCGAACATAGACAAAGCTTGTATAGCTATTTTTTTTCTATACATATAAATCGACAGCACACCGCGAAGTAGGTGTTAGTGCGTATAGAATTTAATTATGGTCTATCTAGATTCATAGAGTATGCGTCGGAAAGACTCGATCGCCGCATATTCTATAAAGATAGAGCCTATTTGCCGCAAATTTGGTAATTCCCGCCAACCAATTTCATTTATATCGGAAACGTTGCGAAATGAAGATGTAGTCGTTATATTTACGTATATTACCAGATATATCTATAATGGTT